CTTAATTACAAAAAATATATTGCGAAAATTAAATATTACTTCTTATGCTTAAATTTTGGTTTTAATTACAAAAATCCAGACATCATTTTTCCCTTTCTCTATGGCCGTATCTATTTTATCCTTTCTCGCTAAGCCCCTCCCCCCCTTAGGGAGACTTAGCAAGAGAGCCTCTTGATTTTGTCTAAAGACACAATACAGCGGCCTCTTTTAAATCTTTTGAGTGTTTGACGGGAACAACTAACATGAGTTATCTCCTCTTTGTTTTTTTTAATATTTTTTAGTTTTTTTTGGGGGGGAGGGTGTCATCCTCCCCCAAACATCGCGTGTCATTTACAGATTTTTATATATAGATTTTTATGCTCATTAAATTTTTCATGTCGTGGAGTGTTTTTGTAGGTCCCCTGAGAGTATTGCTGTATTATGGTATATGGAGGATTGAATAATGATGGATAAGTTCTTGTTGTGGCTGTGCAAATTGTGACGAGTGGATGGGCCGTGAATCGGATTAGCTAGGTATAAGATAGCAAGTGACGACCAGCCTCAATCCTTTGCCCCTTTTAGGCCTTGTGCCAAAATTGTATTTTATTTACAATAAATCTCGACATTTTTGAAGAAAATAAATATTACCAGCATTACATTTTTGGAAAAATATTACCAGCAATAAAAATCTTGTCGGCATTAAATAAACCATTGAGGTTGATATACCGTAAAACAAAACAGACTAAAGCAAACCAAACTTTCAGGGAATTTCAAACTAAACACTTTATTTAATTTATGGAGGTCGATTGTTCTCTTTCCACAATGCGAAAACCAACGCCCTAATCCGCTAATTTATTATCCAATGAAAACATTGAGTTGTTTTTTTCAGCTTATCAACCCTTTGCATATTATTTAAAGCCAGAAAAGATTTTAGATTCTAAGAATTTTTATTTCATTTTTGATAGTAATGGTTTAGCAATACAAATCTAATTAATTACGACAAAGATAGGGAAGAGAACGATTGATGCCTAATTAGAATTTGATGAACACATAAGAAATTGTAACGCGTATATAAAGTGGGCGATCAATTCTATATTACAATCAATATATAAACGGATCCCTCACTTTGTGTCCAGTGTAGTTCCTATACATTTCTATTCCAAAGAATGTAAATAAATCTAAAAGTCATGCCTGTGTAGCTAATCAGTATTTCATTGATTGATTGGTTCGTTTTCTACGACTTATCAGCAAACAAGAAATTATAATGTGGAATTAAAGTGGGGGATCAATTATATATTACAACCAATATATAAACTGAACCCTCACTTTGTGGCCACTATGGTTTCTATATATTTCTATTCCAAAGAATGTAAATAAATCTCAAAGACATTCCTGTGTAGCTAATCAGCATTTCATTGATTGATTCGTTTTTTACGAATTATCAACCCTTTGTAGGTTATTTAAAGACAGAAAAAAATTTCAGATTGTAAGGATTATTTGAGATAATAACGATGTAGTGAGACAAGTCTTACTAGTTAAGTCGTAGCTGGGAGGGGAAGAAGTGAAATAATAACTTTCCCAAGGGTATTTGCGCGCAAATGATATAACGGAGTCATACTGGAAATGGAACTCGACTCTCCAATTAACAATTCCGAACCGTTATCCATTGCACCACCCGCACACACAAGCGTCCTCTCATCTATGTAGTGACCAGGTTCGACGTTACTTAACTTCGGTGGTCATACGGGAACCGGTCGCATGGAAACAGAACTTTGGATATCAGCTTGAGATGAGAAATCGGAGAGCCGAGTTCGAATTCCAGTCGAGTTCGTTGCATTCATTTGTGCACAAATGCCCTTGGGAAAGGTATGAATCCATCTCTTCTCCCTCAAGCTATGGGTTCAGTAGCAGGATAGACTGGGTCCTATAGCCTTGGTTCGCCACCAGTCTACGACAGAAAGAAACATCAACCTACTCTGGGGAAAAAATCTTCTGCCTCGTCAGTCATGAATCGAAATAGACATGATCACCCAAACGTGTATCACATATGGCACTTGACTGACTTTATTTCTTCTCCTCCCAGCTATGGGTTGAATAGCAGGACAGACTGGGTCCTATAGCCTTGAGTGGCAACCTACTGCGGGAAAATCTTCAAACGCTCTTTCTCAGCATGCCTTGAGCCAGCCTGGAAGAGCAGGTTCATAAAGTTAGCATAAGAATAATATCACATGTTGACGCGCAGTCTACTATAATACGGAGTAAGCGTTTGCTTATTATTATTATTATTATTAAATAATGTAAATAACATCCAAAATTAATTATGCCAAGATTTTTGTTCACTTGATGCAAGGCCCAAGAGATACTCAAGGTAGAGGGTTACTGAATGGATTCGTTTTATGGGTATAAGAATTGTACATTATGAATTAATGCGTGCCTCTGTATCGCAATTCTAGTTTGCTGATAATGTTTGTGCTTGTCTGTGTACGCGCCAGTGCGTCTAGATGGCATTCTTACTTATATCTGGCCGCGTTCGTATGTTGATTGAGGATGTTTTGCGTGGAAGTGTAAGAATTTAAGTTACACCGGTTGTGGTTGTAGGTAAAGTGATCTTAGATTCACGTGTGTGTGTGTGTGTGTGTGTGTGTAAATTTAGATAGAGGTGACAGAGATACGAATAGACGCAGAGAGAGAAAGAGAGAGAGAGATGAGCAGGCTGTGATATATATATATATATATATATATATATAAAGAGAGAGAGAGATACATAGATATGAACAGACTGAGAAAGAAAGAAAGAAAGAAAGAAAGAAAGAAAGAAAGAAAGAAAGAAAGAAAGAAACTGCGTAGGCCTGTCCAACTCGGCTACTTCCATATTCTTATTCCAAGGAAAATCTTCCGGAAGATGAGAAATTAATGGTAGAAATTTGGCGAATCATGAACGAAATCGACGCTATAATAAAAAAGGGGGGGGATTTTTAACAGCTGTATGGATATCACATTTGTTCCAGTTTCATTTCGATCATATTTTTAGCTTCAAGGCAACACCATACTGATTAAAATCTGATGAAATGTAAGTGTATATTATCGATAAAATCACACACACACACACACACACGCGCGCACGCGCAAGCACACACACACACACACACACACACATCCAGCTATCTACATAAGATAAATATTAATAGATAATTCTGATAGATCATGCCGGGCTCACTGAAAAAAGAGTCACAAATCCCTAGATGCTTTTATTGTATCAAAGAAACCACCTATATTAAATAAAGTCCGTATAAAATATTCAATATACACACAAAATAATAATAATATATATAAATGCTTGATGCATGCTTTTCGGTTGTGGTGTAGCTCCTCGTAACCATTTTACACATGATTTCACTCTGTAAAAACTCGAATCGTAACGTTCAAAAAATTGCCATTATTTAGCCAACAAAATCTTGTTTACAACACTAATGTGGAAAATGTAGCGACGCCCCAAATTGAGTCGTGGCTGATAAACAAAGATAAAACAACTGAACACTTTAAAAAAACATACTTTATATAAGAAATACATTATAAAACGAGAATAAACATATAGAATTGTTTAAAAAGTATTCTTTTAGCAGTTAAAAGTCATGGCATCGGGGACGAAATCCAAATACATGTGTTTGAAATTTGTTGAAACACTTATCTGATGCTGCTCATATCTTTTTTCAGATCACTGCTTGTCCATGCATCATTCAGGTTTGCTCGTGGTCAGCATCGACTGTTTTTGGAGTAGGCTAAAACACGTCTTTTTCGTTCGTGGTCTTCAGAGCCTCTCCACATTGGCGTCTAAGTTCCATTTGGCGCTTAATTTGGGGTCTTACCCATTATTATCAGATAAATGGACACATCTTTCTATCAGTAGGTGTTATTAACCAAGGAGAGATAACCTATATTTTTATACAGACTACACCCAGTTCTTGATGCCAAAATGAGAGGGTCGAAAGTATATAAACACACACAAAAAAGAACAAAGCATAAACTTGGGAGAGTTTATCCCTAATTTTGATTCCGATGTATGACTCGTTATTCTAAAATTACATGACACCTTATTCTAAAATTCCAAAATAAATCAATTAATTAAACAAATAAACAAACAAACTTTGTTGCTTGAATTTAACAATACTTGTTTGGAAAATATTATTTGATATAGTTCCTCAATTTGTTCTTACGTATGTAGCCCCTTGTTATGGGCTAAATAGTATTACTTGTATGTGGAAAATCGTTGCTATTCTGAAAAAGTTAATGCAATATTTACTGGTAAAGAAAAAGAATTATTATTATAAAAAAGAATCATTATTTTTATATTATTATTATATATCGTTCCTCGATTTGTTCTTACATATGTAGTCCCTGTTATGGGTTAAATAGTAAGACGTGTATCTGGAAAAAAATCATTGTTATTCTCAAGAAAAACAGTGCTAATGCAATATTTACTGGTAAAAAAGAAGTATTCTCACAATCCGAAATATGTGTTATCTTTAAATAACCCACAAAGGGTTGATAAACCGTAAAAAATCAATACGTAGGTTGGTAAGTTTGTGATTGTAACTTATAATAGCTTCCGGCAACATCATGTTGAAACACCAGTTCCCGTACGATTATCGAAGTTAAGCAACGTTGAGCTTGGTCTAGTATCCAGATGGGTGACCATTTGGAAATACAAGCTTGGATGGGCAGGTAGTGTAATAGATAAATTGTTAATGCACTCTATTTTACCAAGAATGCAATTCAAAAACAATAAATAAAACCATGGAGAGCCATGATTGCTTTCGTCGTGAAGGGATATTGCATTTTTTCAAAATGTTGATGGGTTTTCTTTGGTGAAGGGTGTTAGGTAGAGCAAGAATTTTTTTTAAATTGATGTGTCAGTGCGAACGCAATAAACGCACAGTGTGGATTTAATAAAACGCATGTCTTGACATTTAATTCTTGATGCTCTTTAACCATTACACACATGAAATCACCAGATAAACATCATGACTTTCTTTTTTTTTCTGTTACTCGTTAAGATGAATAATATTCTTTAAATTTTTTTTCTCGGCTATTTCTTCTTTTCAGTTTATTAAACTCTTGCCTTTTTTTTTTTGCAATGTCAATCTTTCGTCTCATCTAGAAGGTTTCTTTTTTTTTTTTTTTTACATCCTTTCTTTTTCTCTTTTTTCTCTGTTCCCATCTTTCATGTCTGTTATATTAAATAGCAGAAATGATCCTGTTGTGCTATTCATCAACTTCACCAGAAAATCAGTAATCTTGCCACAAGAATTCATCCTTTTCTTTTTTTGCAGGCTCTTAGAAACTATATAAAGTTGCATTGTGAAATTTTGCAGACTTCCTCACAGCTCTACTTGTCTATCAAAAGTCAATATTATCGCAGTAGAAAGATCCAAGATATTACAAATATAAAATATTTAAGAAAAACTAGTTAGCCAAAAAAAAAGTATAAGTATTTTATTCTCTTACTTACTACTACGTCCGTGCGTTGCTTATAAAATCAGCAGTTACAAGATCTCAAAGAGCAGACGCACACAGTAACAGAACGCTTTATCACCTCATCTGGTGTAAAGAAAGTTCTTAAAAAAATACGGCATGAATTTTCCCTTTCAAACACACACCATCGCACACACATATCAATAAATTATTCTTACAGCTTCTTCGCTTTTCAAAATGGTGTTTTATTCATTTGAACTGTGTTTTTATATTCTTTTTTTATCATTTCACCCCAAGCAAGGCAGTAAAGCCACTAGGATGCAAGGGGTTACTGAGTGTTAGAGAATACGAGGGAAAAAATCTATTATTAACGAGAGAGGACAATAAAAGAACAAGAATTAAGAAGACAGAAGATAACGATTGACGTTGTATTTCAATTTTTGAAAATGAAACTTGACTGTGAAGCAAGAAGGCGGAAGAGAATTCCACAAGCGAGAAGTGCGGTAGAAAAAACTGTTTGCATAGAACTAATGGTTCTATCTAGCCGTTTCAAGTGTAAAATGATGAGACCTTGCCGCCAATCTAGTACTGCACTTAAATTCATAAAGTCTACGTACCATAGAGGAAAGTTTAACACCATGAAATTATTTATAGAAAAGGCACAAGGAAGCTATGTTACAGTGGTGGGAAAGTGACTGAAGACGAGATGCCAGGTCAGGATCAAAAACATTGCAGATTCTTCTTTCGATTATATCAAGAATCTCTGGATATATAACTGGAGCACAAGACCAGATATGGCAGCAATATTCAAAGCTAAGATGAATGGTAGATTTAGAAATATGCAATATAGATTCTGTCGAGCAAAATTGTTTAACTTTACTAGCAGTAATATAATCTTTCCACTTCAGCATTAGTTCGGGAAGGCGCAAGGCGTCACTCTACTAGAGGGTTAGAATCGGCCGTGCCGATAAAAGGCAAAAAAAGGTTCTCACAGATGATTAATGGAGAAAAGTTTCGTCTTGAAGTCGTTAAAATTAACAAGCTATTCCTTACTCCGGTTAACAACAGATTGTAGGTCATTTTTGAGATCAGTTGCCAATTTGACCTCATCGAACCGACCATACTTGCCATTAAAACAGGAGTAAATAGTTGTGTCATCAGCATAGGCACTGAGTTGAGAGCTGATGACATCAGGAAATGTCATTAATGAAAATTCATTAAAATGGTTCGTTTTAACAAAGAGACTTGATTCCAAAAAATATTTTCGTATAAAAGAAAGTTATTTTCATATCACTATGTTTATGGGATATATTACTTATTTTATGGAAAAAAAATATGACAAAGTAGAAGTTTTCATGTAACGCGTTTCAAGGACTTCATCAGACTAAAGTGTTGTTTACGCCGATGCGACTACACACGTTGAGAATTTAAAATTTTAAAGAAAATATGTTTTAATTATATAAACTAGTCGACTTCATGTCGATTCTTTTTCTTTCTGTTCATGTTTTCATGGCTTATGTAATTAAATACACCACATTGGGATAATCGAAGATCTGCCAAAAATAGTGAAATGTTCTAAGAACCTAGAAGTAAATTTACTGTGGATGATCTAGCGATTAAGGCACTTTCTATACATTTTCGCCTTAGCAAATTGTTTTAATTTTAATTAGAGGAATATTTTTTAAATCAAAATTATGGCCAGGATCATTACGGTAATTGCATTGAGTGTGTTATTTTGTAAAAGATCCCTTTTGTGGTCATATAATCTTTTATTTAAATTCCTCGAAGTTTCACCTTTGTATTACTTGTGGTAATTATTATAGGTAATAGAGTAAATTCCTCTTTCAAGTCTTAGCTCATTATTATTTTGTTTTATATTAAATCTTTTATTGTTTTAGAAATAGTTGTAACAAATTTTATGTTAAGCTTAGATAATATTTTTCCAGTTGCAGTTATGACATAGTTGGTGGGTCGAAAAATATAATTTATTCGTTAAGTTTGTCAGGAAGTTTAGCTTTTCTAATTTGAAATATTTTATGTGCCTTTTGTTTTGCATTGAATATGAAGCATATTATTGGAGGAGCTTAAAAGTAACTTTTTTTTCACTTTTTATCCGAAAATTGTTCAAGATATAAAAAAATGTATATATCGTTTGCCCATATATTCCGCTTCCCTTTCCTCAGGGTAACCGAAAGCTCCCCAAATCCAGGACCTTCACACCTTGGATAAATTCCTCCCTGATTGATGATGTTCTCAGGGGCTGTAGCTGTACTCATCAGGTTTAGTCAATTGTGGATTGTTGAGACTATATAACCCATAGTTGGAGGTTTTGAATTCAGAGTTGTCCTTTTCCTCAACCGGCTGCCAAACAAGGACCCCAATGTTTTTTCAAGCAATTCACCCCAAGCAAGGCAGGAGTGCCACTAGCACGCAAGGGGTTACAGAGGATGGAGAACAAGAGTAAAGAGTCGTGTTTGAGGAAAGGAAACAGAGAAGGACGGGAAACAAGCTCAAGATATCAAATGTCGATTGACATTACACTTGAATATTTGAAGATTATAGTCGTCGGGAAAGCAAGTAAGGGAAAGGAAGTTCCACAGACGGGAAGTGCGGGAGAAGAAGCTGTTTGAGTAGAAGAGACGGTTATATTTAACTGTTTCGACAGTGAAAGGGTGGGACCGAGATGCCAGCCTGGTAACGTCTTTAAATTCATGCAGTCTGGGAACCAGCGATAGTAGCTCGTCGGAACAGTTGTCATGAAAATATTTGTTGAAAAGACAGAGGGAAACCACGGCACGTCTGTTTGAAAGCGACTGTAGACGAGATGCCAGATTACATTGCATATTCGTCTCCGGATTTTGTCGAGGACGTCGAGACACACAGCGGGGGCAAAAGACCATATATGACAGCAATATTCCATGCAAGGGTGGATGGTTGATTTATAGATTTGAAGGATGGACTCAAACGAGAAAAACTTTCTGGCATGACACGGAGAACCAATTTTCCTTGCGGTAGATGGAGCTATTGATTCAATGTATTCATTCCACCCCATGTCAGCGGACAGCGTGAGACCAAGCAGAAATAAGAAGGAGCTCTCAGTTGGGAACCAGCTGGTGTGATGGGAGGCAGGGAGAGTTCTCTGTAGTGGGTAAAAGAAAAGCAGTTTCGTTTTGGAAGCCATTTCCTGCCCCAGTCAACCACAGAGTTGAGGACCTTTTCGAGATCAGCAGCCAGCTTTGTTTTATCAATGATACCAGATTTACTATTGAGGAAGAAGTAAATATTAGTGTCGTCCGCGTAGATGCCTACTTGGGAACCGATCGGGAAGGTTTTGCTATCTTAAACATACATGGGGAATAAGAGATCAATTCATACCTTTCCCAAGGGTATTTGCACGGCTGGAATACGAACTCAGCTCCCCGCTTCCTCAATCAAAGTCACTGTTTATTGCACCATAATACCTCCATATATTCTTTTTCTCTTCTTCAGTTTCTTCACGACGTTGACGATCATGGCTCTCCATAATTTCCTCTCTTTTGTTGCTCTTAATAACATTTGTGTTGCTATTATCTCTCCTAAACCTTGTCCCACCATTCATTTACTCAAGCTCATTCTTCTTTTTCTATGTGCTGTGTCCCTTCAGGACATTAGCGATCATGGCTCTCCACATTTCCTTGTTTTTTGTAGCTCTTAATAAATTTTTGTTATCTCTTCTCTCCATTTACTCAAGCTCGCTAGGTGGGTCATGCGTTGTTTTCGTCCGTCTCTCTTTCCTTTAATCTGTCCTGTGAATGTCAAATTCTCCAAGCCCCTTTTCCTCATTATGTGCTCTAGACATTTTAACTTTCATTGTTGCTCACATGTAACCGTCCTGGGTAAGACGATAAACTACATCCAACAGCAAGGCCTCAGATGTTTTGAGGATCGTGAAACCACCTCTTAATTGCTGGTGTTCCCAGGTTCACTCTGACCCGGGGTGGTAGCACCTGTTAGGGTGCCAGCTATGGGCAAATAGTTAACACCCAAAATTGTGTAAAAATAGGTTTTAATGCCAGAAATACTTTGTAATAAAAAATATTACCGGCAATAATTTTTGAAGGAAAAATTATTATCAGCAATACATTAAAAAATAGCATTACAAACAATTATACATTCTTTGAAAAAAAATATTACCAGCTATAGATTTCTTCAAGGTAGATTATACCCAGAAATAGATTTTTGAAGAAAAACATATTACCAGCAATAAAGATTTATTTTGTTTTGATTAAATAAACCATTGAGGTTGATATGCCGTAAAACAAAATAAACCAAACTGAACAAAACTCATATGTAAAATGGTCGATTCATTTTTAAAAAATTATCACATATAAAATGATTAGTTTATAATCTGATAACCCGTGTACTAACCTTGTCTTTGACGTCATCTAAAGTAACGTAGGGATACACCGATGGGCAAATGGTCGAAAATTAGAGAAGGCCACGGTGCCATGTCGGTTTCTTACGCTTGTTCGAAACATTATACGATGTCCGATGACTCCATTATTTTCAG